CGCCTTTCACTCCTGCTCCCCGTTCTCTTCCGCCCCTCCCTCGGTGACTATGGGCTTTTTTTTCATCCTCACCATCCTTGCTCCCCCCTCCCACCTCGTCATTCTCCTCGCTCCTTCGACCCCTCCACCTCTCCCTCCTCCCGTCTTCTCCTCTGGTGCCGCCTCGCCGTGCGTGCTCTCTCTCTCTCTCTCTCTTGCCGCGTTGCTGCTCGCGGTCTCCCCTCTTTCCTTTCTGCTTTTTGTTGGGATTGGCGGCTGGCGAGTGGCGACGACGGCGAAGACGACGGCAGCGTCTCCCACACACCGAAGGGTCCGCGGCTTTATCCTCTTTCCCAGCGTCCCTGAAGAAGCCAGGGGTGCACGGGCCCGTTGTCTCCGATCCCCTCCCGCCGTCCAAGCGGAGGATTTCGAGGAGGAGGAGGAGGAGGAGGACGAGGAGGGAGAGATCCGAGAGCGCGGTGGCTCCTTTTGACGCCCTCTCTCTGCACGGCGCCTGGTGCAGGGGCGTGCAGAAGCGCCCCTACCCCTGCCGACGAGGCGGCGGGCGCGGAGGCGTCTGCGGGCTGGCGGGGCGAACCCTTCGTCGCGCGGCGTCCCGGCGTCTCTCTGGCCTCCCGGGAGCTCCCGGGAGGTTCGCAGGCCACGCACTCGGGGGAAGACGCCGCACTGGTTGCGGACCAACATGCCCAGCGACTTTCCGTCTCCCTGCACAAGGAAAACGCGCGGGCGGTGTTGCGGCGCCTTCAGACCCTGTCTGGAGGGGCGGGGGTGGCAGCGGCCCGCCTGGCCGCGGCCATGGCGGCCTCCACGGCAGACGCCGTGTGAGGTGCCCCCTGCGTTGCCTAGCGCCCCCCGCCCACCCCCCCCCCGCCCTTGCTGGGCAGCACGGGCGCCCCCCGCGCCCTTTCGCCAACGTCGCGCCGGCGACCCCTTCCACGCGCCGCCCGGCCCTTCCCCGGCGGGGCGGTGGATGGATCCCGCAGAGGGCAATCCCGACCAAGCCGCATCGCGCTGGGTTCGGGCGGCCACCCCGCCCAGGTCGCCGCCGTAGGGTCCGTAGCCTCGTCGCGGGCGGCTCTTCTCTCCCGGCCCCTGGCCCGGCCTGTTTGCTTGCGGTCGCTGCTTTCTCTTCTCCTTGTCCTCCTCCCCTTCCTCCCCCTCCCTTCGCTTCTGCTTGTTGCTTCCCTCCCTTTCCTTTCCTCCTGCTCCCTGCCTGCTGTCTCCGCCTGGCCCGTCTTCTGCCTGCCCGCCCGCCCCGCCGGCCCTGGCCTCCCGCCTGGGCGTTCGTCGTCGTCTGCCTGCTTCTCCCCTCCTCGTCCCCTTCCGCCGGACAGCACAGCCTGCCCGGAACCAGCGTGGCGGCATTGGGTCACAGTCAACGGACAGGCTCCCGACAATTATTTAAACACCCCCCGGCCTGCGAACCGCAGCCCTTGACCCAGACCGGGGGGGGGGAACGAAACTCGGCTGGCCGTTTCTGGCCGCTTTCGCCAGGCCGCCTTCACGGGCGGGCGCGCGCAGGGCGGCAGCGCGGCCACGCACGCGTGACCCCAGGTGGGGGCGTTTTTTCATCCCTCACTTCATGTGCTCATGCAATCAGGGGGCCACATGCGAACCCTACCCTTACCCCCCACGATTTCTGAGGGGGAGGGTGGGGTTCACTTCGTCTGGGTGCTCCCGAGCGAAGTGAACCCCACCCTCCCTCTCAGAAGCCGTGGGGGGTAGGGGTAGGGTTCGCACGTGGCCCCATATTTTCATCCTTCAATTTATGTGCTCATGCAATGCCGCCCACACATTTATGTCTTTCTGTCTTTTTGTGGGTGGGGTCGCGCGTCATGGGGGGCAGTTGGGGTTCCACTGAGGATTTGTCCGTGGGTCTCCCGGAGGTCGGAAGGAACGATAGGGCCGCTCCCCGAACAACGGTCCGCAGCATAGACGGTGCCATACAGGCTGTCCTTCTTCTCTCTCTCTTTCCTCCTCCTCCTCCTCCTCCTCCTCCTCCTCCTCCTCCTCTTTCTTCCTCCTCCTCCTCCTCCTCCTCCTCCCCTCCTCCTCCTCCTCCTCCTCCTCCTCCTCCTCCTCCGCCTCCTCCTCCTCCTCCTCCTCCTCCTCCTCCTCCTCTCTCTCTCTCTATCCAGGCCCAGCATCGCCTGCCGGATCGGCCCCATGGGCACCCAGCCGAGCGAGGCCCACGAGTGGCCGTCGGGCAGTTTGCTCGCGGCGCTCCCGGGTGAAGCCTCCCAGGAGTCTTCCGCTTGCAGGGCTGTCCCAGTTGGCAGTCTTGAGGACCACCCAGGGCGCGCACACTTCAACCACGCGCAAACAGGGGGAGAAGGAGGAGGTGGGGGGAAGGCTTCTTAAAAGGAGGCTGCTTATAAGGCGTGGGCCTTGTCTGTGGGTGCAAGGCTGGCGCCTTCAAGAAGCGGCCTCTTTCTAGGAAGCCTTTCCCCCTCCCCCATACCCCCTCCGCGCGCCGCCAACAATTGCAGTGCTCGCATGAGACCAGGAAGTAATTCCCCACTCCCGTAGGGCCAATTCCTGCAGCTGGTATTGGGGTCAGAGTGCTGCAGAGAACCGCGGCCGGCGGGTAGAACCTGACTCAGTACATTGGGAAGGGATGGGTGGGAGATGTAGTATGTCAGATGTGGCGCGAGGGCGCCTATCTTGTGCCCCCTTCGTTCTCCTCTTCATTCCTCTTCCTCTTCCCTTCTCCCCTCCCTTTCAGATCCTCCCCCGGTCCTCCACCTCGCCCGATCCGTCCACGCTCTCACTCGAAAGCGTAAATAAACATAGGATCCCCCTCTCCCGTTCATCCTTCCGAACAGCAGAGTGCGGCATCGAACTTTCGAAGGTCCGCGCAGATGTCTTTGATCGGCGGTGGACCCTCCCTGGCGCGCGGTTGTTCCTTTACTCCCCCCTCCTTCCTCCCTCTTCCTCCATCCTTCCCTCCCTCCTCCTCCCCCCTCCCTCTCTCCCTCCCTCCTCCCTCCCTCCCCCTTCCTCCTCCCCCTCCCCCCTCCCTCCCTCCCTCCCTCCTCCCTCCCTGCTCCCTTCCATGCTCTTCCTCCTCCCCCCTCCCTCCTCCCTCCCTCCTCCCTCCATCCTTCCCTCCCTCCTCCGTCTTCCTCCCCTCAACTTGGCGGCTCACAGGACCGCCCTGGGGCGCACCAACCGACACGCCATCAGCACCGGGGCGATCCCCACTGCAGGCCCGGTGGTTCCTGACTGCCTGGGGCGAGGGCGCCAGGAGCAAAAGCTGCAAGCGGAACTGGAGGACGAGGCTGAGGAGCAGGAGGATGAGGAGGAGCAGGAGGAGGAGAGGGCTGAAGACGAGTAGTAGCATCAGTAGGAGTCGGATAGGATGATGATGATGACGATTATGGTGCTGATGATGATGATTATCATGGTGGTGGTGGTGGTGAGATGATGATGGTGATGATGATGGTGGTGATGATGACGATGATGATGATGATGAGGATGGTGATGAGGATGATGATTATGACGACAATGACGATGCTACTAATAATGATGCTGATGATGCTGATGATGATGATGATGACGATTGTGACCATGGTGATGATGATGACGAAGCTGAGGATGCTGACGACGATACTTAGGATTGAGATGGTGATGAAGATGATACAGAAGGTGATGGTGATGGTAATGGTGATGACAATGATGATGATGATGATGATGATGATGATGATGATGATGCTGATGATGATGATGATGACGATGATGCTGATTATGATGATGATGACCATGCTGATAATGATGATTACGATGATGATGCTGATGATGGTGATGATGATGAGGATGATCATTATGTTTGTATGTTGATGACGATGATGATAATGATGATGATGATGCTGATGATTACGACGACTACTACGACGATGTCGATGATGATGATGATGCTGATGATGATGATGCTGATGATGATGCTGATGCTGATGCTGATGATGATGATGACGATGGCAATGATGATGCTGATGATGATGTTGATGATACTCATGAATATGATGTTGCTGGTGATGATGACGATGCTGATACTAGTGATGATGATGACGATGATGCTGCTGCTGATGATGATGAACATGATGATGCTGTTGATGTTGCTGTTGATGATGCTGATGATGATGCTGATGCTGAGGCTGATGAATATGATGTTGATGGTGATGATGATGCTGATGATGCTGATGATGATGATGATGATGATGATGATGATGATGATGATGATGATGATGATGATGATGATGATGATGATGATGATGATGATGATGATGATTAGCAAGGGCAGGAGGTTGAGGAGCAGGAGGAAGAGGTGGAGGAGGGGGGAGGGCCGTGGTCGGGGAGAACAGGGAATATCCAAGGCGGGAGGAAGGCGATGAGCGCGCTGAGCGCGCACCGGAGCGCAGTGCAGCTCGGACCCTTGATCATGGGCGCCACGTAATGCTTGAGGTGTATACCGTGTTTTGCTGCCGAAGCACTCGCCCTGGATCGAGGGAAACAACACATGGACCATGGCCAAGATGTCGCAAGATCTTAGCGATGCCGATCTTGGTCATGGTTCTTGTCGGCCATCGCCGACTCGCGAGGATGGTCCACGAATCGACGCTGACCAAGATCGACGGTGACCAAGATCCGCACGATGCTTCCGAGTTCAGTCTTGCTCATGGTCCCCGTTTCTTCCCCTCCATTGGGTGAGGGGTTGCAGGCAGTGCAACGTTTAGTTTGCAAGCTGCTAACCTATCAAGCCGTCACCGTCGCCGCCGTTGCCATCTTCGTCGCCGCCACGGTCGGCGCCAGCCGTCGCCATCGCCGCCACTGCTGCTGTCGCCGCCGTCGTCGCCGCCGCTGCCGCCGCCAGCGCCGTCGCCACGGCCGCCGCTGTTGTCGCCGCCGTCGTTGTCGTCGCCGTCTTCGCCGTCTGCCTGCCCACTACCCGCCCAGTGCCAGTGGCGATGCCCGCGCTGCCCTCACGGGGCCTCTTCGGCGGGATGTTCCAGCAGCCCGAGTACGGCGCCCCCCCGGTTGCGCACTTCGGCCAGGCTGGCTGGCGCCAGCGGAGTCCGCATATCAGTCAGAGGCGTCTCAGGGACGTAATTACGTGTGCACGGCTCTTCGTGTGTCTTGAGGGTGTGCACTGCGTCAGCGTTCGTAGCCTGGGGCTGGCCTTTCGGACTGGGGGCCGTATTCATGCACGTGGCTGGGCGCGTAGGTCTCTTGGGTGGGCTCCCTAATCAGGGGAGGCCCAACCGACCCCATGGCAGTTTTGGGTGGGCTCCCTGATCAAGGGAGGCCTAACCGTCCGCTGGCAGACCGCCCTTTTCTGTGACGACCCCTCTCGCCTCGCTCAGAGGCGCGGGCGGGCGGCTGGAGTCGCGGAAGGGGTCGGTGCATCCTGACGGTGGGCTTTGTCTGTAGCTGGCACCGCGCTCTCGAGCACTCGTCTTTTCAGTGAGTGCGCCTACGTTTTGTTCGGATGCAACTCCTGGGAGGTCAAGTTCTGATTTTGCCCTGGTCCGAAGTCCGGCTTAACCCTGCTTAATCCCGCTTAATCCCGCTTGATCCCGCTTAACCCAGCATAATCCCGCTTGATCCCGTTTAATCCCGCTTAATCTGGCTTAATCCGAGGCCCACTCCGCCGTAACAGCCCCCCAATGGGGCTTAATCCTGTTTAATCCTTCCGACGAAAACCTCCCAGTAGTTGCCTCCTAAGGTTTGGTCTCCAGGGGGCACGTCAGGTCAGTGCACTCCAGTGGTGGCGGCGTGCAGAGAAGGCAAGCGCGTGTGTGTGTGTGTGTGTGTTTGCGTGTGCGTAACACATACTGAATACTCCTCCCCACCAATTCCTCAAAGAATGCATGCACTCAGGGGCTCCTACTCATGATCTAAGGAGCTGGACGGCGGTGCCGGCCTGGCGGCTCTGTGGCCGCCGCCGCCGCCCTGTCGCCGCCCCGTCGCCGCTTCGTCGCCGCCAGTCGCTGGCCGTCGTCTGGGGCAATCGCCTTGCATTGCACCATATTGCAATCGCACTGCGCTGCATTGCATTTGCAATCCCCTCGCCTGGGCCTGCGGGCCGCTCTGGCCGCCATGTCGCCACCGTCGCCGACTCGTCGCCGTCTGTCGCCACATAGATTTCACCACGTAGACTGCACTATTTTACCACCTAGATAGTCCTTGATATATTGCCCCACGCGATCGCACACCCGTAGATTGCACCACGGTCATTGCACTTCATATTTTACCCCTCGTATGATGCGAGACGTATATTCTGTTTTGTAACAAGGAAGCAGGATCTACCCCACTGGGATTGTTCTCCCTGGAGATGTGCAAATTGTACCGGATTCTACCCCATCGTTCATTTAAAGTATGACTTCATACTATCCCAGCTAATCCGGGTTCCCCACCCCACAATCCTCTGCAAAGCACTATGCGCGCACATTCGCTTCTCAGATACTCAACGGTTTCCGGGAATGCCTTGCGGCATATGTGACGGGGAGCACACGCGCGCGCCTTCGCGCGCGCATGCCGAACTCCTCCAAAAACCTCGCGTTCGGTAAGGAGTTCAAAGTCGAGTGCCTCAAACACATCGAACAAACACATGGTTTGCAACATGGATTTTCCAAAAGAAGGTCGGCGCGTGCGCTCCAGCGACTTCTTATGCAAACCATCGGGTTTTCTTTACATTGTCATCAAATGTGACCAAGCGGGCCTCTCGCCTGCGAATTCCGAAATCATTCGAACGCCTTTGCGCGCGTGCTGGGGGGGGGTGCACGATCCCTGTCAACTGATACCATTCGGGCCACTCGCGCCTGTTAGCCGCGCGTGCATGTCGAAATCTTGCCGCAATTTTCATCGCCGACACGTGGACACCATCATCGTCATCGGCGTGATCAGCATCGGCGCCGTCATTGGCAGTGCCGTCGTCATTGTCATCGGGGTCACCAGCATCGCCATTCAGCCGTGTTCGACGTCGCCATGATACCCCGCCCGCTCGAGTTCACCGACTCGTGCTGAAGTCCCCGCGCGTCCGTGCGGTCTGCGAGACAAGCTGAGAAGTCCGCGGCGGTCAGCGCCATCGCGGCCGCGTCGGTCGCGCCAGACTAGCTGGCCGCTTTGCGCGCGAGCCCGCTCGCGCCTGGCGCGGCCGCAGCGACGCGCCAGTCAGCGCCACGTAGTCATCGCCATCGCCGCCGCATGGTTGTTGCAGAACATGTTGCGGGTGGGCGGGTGGGATGAGTGTGCGAGCAGTTGGCATGCCACTCCCAAGCAATGATTCCACTATACAGGCTTTCCTTTTTTCCATCCCCCCGCGGCAAGGAACAATCTCTCCCTCTGGGGATGTGTAATTTACACCCGATTTTGCCATCGTCCACTCTAGATTTGGATTCGTATGACCCCGGAAACATATAGCACACATGGTTCTACAACGGGCGTTTACAAAACAAATGTCGGCGCGCGCGCTCTTGCGAATTCTTTCAACAATCATGGACTTCTGAAATTCTTGACGCTCCGCGTGTCCCTCATTCTAGGACTAGCTTCCCAAACATCTGCGTCCGCCTGGCCAAAGAATTCCGGGTGGCGCAGAGACTTGCACCGCTCACCCCGGGGGACACTTCTTCAGAACACACAATCGACCCCCACACGAAGGCGGATCCTCCAAGGAATTCACCGCATTCCGTGCACAGTTGCTCAAGGATGCCAAGACGATCATCGCGACACACGAATCCGCGGAGGCCCTCAGGCATGCTGCATTGCTCATCATCGACGAGGCAGGACAAACCCATGAGCTTATGGCAGCCATGTCGCTCGACAGTGTCATCCGTTCCGGCCGACATCTGGTGTTGGTGGGCGACCCCAAACAATTTCCCCCCACCGTCCTCTCCAGAAAGGCTGCCGACCTCGGGCTGTGCCTTTCCATATTCGATCGGCTGCACACCGCCCTGGGGGATGAAACATCCGCCGTGGTGCAACTAAGCCTCTGCTATCGCATGCGCTCCCTGCTCCTGTCCTGGCCCAGTGTCGCCTTCTACAATAACACAATACGGTCGGGACTCACCGACCCCTTCGCGCAAAGGCCACTGATCGAAGGACTACAGTGGCGGAAGCTACTGCCCTGGGACGACAAAAGGCTCGAAACTCTCGCTGAAGCCACGGCCACCCCGACGGAAGACTTGGAGAAAATGCTGCGGGACCTCGCGCCAGACCCCCATCGCGAGGAAGAAAGGCATCGATTCCTCCTTGTCGACAACCCCTCCCTCGAGGTCACCTCAAGACTCCACTCAGGATACGCGAACCTACCAGAGACCGCGCAAACGGTGGACATCGTACGAACACTCCTGCCCGCCATGAAGAATGGCACAACCGTGCGCGTCGTGGTGGGTTACCAGCTACAGTGCGCAGTCCTGGAGAACGGTTGGCCCCAGTCAGGAAGAAACATCAGCGGCACCCTCGGACAGGCCAAGGCCAAGGGCAAAGGGAAGGGCAAGGACGGAACAGCTAAGGCAGGCGGACACCCCGCGCACCCCCCTGCATACGTCGCTGACACCAAGGACCACGCGAGCGTGTTTGCACAGTGGGGTTCCCCCCTCGCCGGGATCGATCTGCGCTTCCTTGGGCTGCGACAAATTGCGGAGGAGCACCTTGCAAGCGGCAAGCTAACCATCTCCACTATAGACACCAGTCAGGGCGGCGAGGCAGATCTAGTCATATACCTGACCACCCGGTCCAACAAATGGCATGTCTGGGGTTTCATGGACAACCCCAACACGGTGAACGTCGCGATCACCAGCGCCACCACCAACGTGGTCATCATCGGGGGTGGAAGGATGTTTGGCACGGCCACAGGGGCTCGCTTGCGAGAGCTTTCAGAGTATGGGAGATTTGCCAAACTATGGATCCGCTTCAAAGGAGACGACCTGGGCACAATATTTCGGCTGCAGACCGATGAGGAATTTGACCCCATCTGGGACCTGACCACATGGACCCCTGCGGCCCCCACCCACACCGGGGACGATACCATGAAAGGACTAGGCGACGCCATCAAGCCAAGACCTCCATGGAGAACAGCCTCGCGGAGCGCATCGCTGCCCCGCTTGACCCCTTGTTCTCCTGGGACAAACTCGGCGAAGCCATCGCAGACAGCATGCAGAAGCTCGTCGACGACCCAGCAATGGGAGTCATCCTCTACACCGTGGCCGGGCTCCATCCCCACCAGTGGTCCATGGGCGCCACCCCGAGGCAGCCGGGCAGCCTCGATCGGAAGGCCTGGAGCCACCTTGGGTATTGCTTGGACGTGGAACTCGGAATCGACGCCAGCAACCTGGTATACAATCTGACGTGGGCAGCCTTGGTCTGGTTCCTGGGGCTGGGCACACCCTGGCACGAGGCACAACTGAGTGCCCCGCTGACCTCGCTCCCCCCGCTGCCCCATGCTATTGGTAACAACCGCCGCCCCAAGCCCTCGAGCAGGTGCACCCCCGTTGGCGCGCTCCCCCAGTTCCCCCCTGCCTGGGGCCCTGCCACGTGCAGTTGCAAACGCCACAGGGTGCATCCTTGGATGGATCACTTGCACGCTTTGCTCCGCCCAGAGCAGATCGAATCAACGCTCGCGCGCGCCCTCTGCGGCAGCGACGGGCGCCCACGCAGCACCCCTGCGCTCAGAGTCCTCCTGGTGGTGATGATGCTGCGACTGCGGGAACCGCGCGCTACGCCCTGGCCATTCCCGCATCCAGAAGCCACGGGGGACATCATAGAAGCGGCGATGGGCCTCTGCCTCCCCTGGCAGGAAGCCCGCGAGGAGTTCCGCAGCAGCCGACTTCGCCTCCCTCCGCGCCAAGATGGAGGAGGTCATTCGCCACATCAGCACGCTGGCCGCCTTTACCCATCACCGCCTCGCTGCGTCCGCACGCGACTGCCCGCAGACATGGTCAGGGATGCTGGAGCGCGACTTCGCCCTAGAGGCCCCCATGCGCGTACTTGAGGTGAGAGTCCAGCCTGCGGGCGTCAATCAACTGAGCATAGGGGGCTGCTCTATTTGCCAACTGCACAAGGAGCTGGTCGGATCAGAAGGGGGACTCGGCA